TTCTACAGAATGACCATCACCTGTTGGAGATGCAGAGAATGGATATTGTTGATAGGGAACGGAAACGTTAGAATANTCCTCCGTATCAGATCTGGTAAATACTCGATTGGTGGTGTGCTGTAAGGCAGGGAAAGGAATCATGTGGGCTGAAGTGTGCCACGGGCAACAACTGCAATGCATGGATACAACTTAGTCCGAAGTTACGAATAATAGAAGAGAGTTTGGACCATTCGTTCGAGTCACGCCCGTCTAAGATTTCCCAACTCCTCTAGAGTCGATTAATTACTGCCATCCAAGGCTGTTGCAAGTTTTTCAAATCTGAACCATTCGAATACTTCCACGATCATTAACAGCGCTGAAGACGAGAAGCATGAATAGCGTCATCAGTCTTAATAGAAAATCTTAGAAAGTGAAAAGCCTAGGTCCAGCTGATGGGATGGGCCTGGGATAAAGCCCAAATTGTGTCACTGTAAGATCAATCATGATCTTTAAAGCCTGCTTCCCAATAACTATATCTAGGCATAACATTCCCAGTCTGCCTATAATATTTTTTTATATATATATAAAATCTGATTACTACTCAAGAAAAGAGGTTTTTGGATTAAAAGCGTGAATTAGGTTTTGGAGTCTGTTCCTTGAATAGTTTCCAGCCTTGACTTTCATCAAGACTAGTACACGACTTCGAGTTCTTAGTGGTTAACACCATTGAAATTTACAAAAGAGAATTTTTAGGTAAAAAGTCAAAATTTTTTAAGAAATAGGGAATAAATAATTAATCAATGGACACAAGCCATCTCGAAGAATCTTGAAGTTTCTAAGCTCATTACTTCTTTGGTTTCCTTCGAACAATTTCAATACCCCAGTCTGAACTACAGGAAATCAAATCCGCTCGCGTATAGTGCACGAATTTTTCGGATTTCGATTCCATGAAATTCTAAAAAACTACACACTATGCGCAACCATATTTCCCAAAAATGAAAAATCTAAAAAAATCAAATTTTGATGTAGTGAGGTTTGTGCTAGGATATTCGGGGAGCGATAGCAAGAACGAGTGTTCTCTGAGGTTTTTGGAGTTTAGTAAATGGCTTGAGTCGAAAGTATTGAATGAATAGTGAAATTTAATTGATCTTCAAATAGTTCTGTTGGAAACAGAAGAAAGCGATAGGGCCGAACTAGATCTCAGCATAACATCTCGTGGACGCAGAGCAGAGAAAAGATTGGTGGGGGATAAGATCTCTTGGCTGTGCTGAGAGCGATCCGGAAACGGAAATAAGATGGAAGGTTCTCACGCAGCAGTCTCTGCCCTTCTGCAGAATGACCATCACCTGTTGGAGATGCAGAGAGTGGATATTGTTGATAGGGAACGGTAATGGTGGACTATTCCTTCAAGAAATGTTTCATTTAATTTTCTTTCTCGAAAGCAAAAGGCTGACGGGCAATACTAGTCTCGAGGAACTAGTGTTACAGGATAGAATTGGCACCATCACGCCCTTATAAGGGGAGTGGTACTCGTGTGAGGATCAAAGGGGTCGGGTTTGATAGTAAACTAATACGTTTCGACTAATTCTCATATTTAGACGTTTGTATATCCCTCTACCTTTCCTCTTTTCTGCTCTCTCTGATCAACCGTTTTTTCGAGTCGATATGAGTTAGGAAAGGATAGATTTTGGCTGACAAGTGGCGAGCGTACATATGAAACTCCACGAGGTCCCGTCTGCTTGCCATTGTGTGCTCCTATCTCTAAAAAGGCCAACGTGCCATGATCACCTGGAACATCAGCTATTTTCAACCTCGATATTGTTCCCAGTTCCTATCTCCAACCTCGAATTCTCGGATTTAGAACTGAAAATCTAGACTCATATCGCTCATTTTTTAGGGCTGGAGTCCACCCCTCTCATCTTCCTTCTCCTCCTTCCCTTCCTCTTACTCACTCTCTAAAAAGAACTTCATCGACTGGGAGTCCACCCCTCTCATCTTCCTTCCCCTCCTCCCCTTCCCCTTACTGATTCTCTAAAGAAGAACTTTATCGACTGGACATCTATTCCGAAAATATTCGACTATTTCGAAAAGATTGTCAGTGTTCATAAAGGTCTGATGGTGAGTAAAAAGGTGTGTAGGGGCATAGTGTGGAAAATGAGGTTTTCTGAATTTTTTTTCTAATAATTTAATTGAGCAGAAGTTTGTTAAAAGGCCAGGGAATTAGTGATCGTTAAGGAATCCCGTTTTGAGATACGATTCATGTTTGTTAATGTTCTGATTCTCCCGTCAAATGCCACTAAACTAATCTCCCGAATGATGGAAGACTTGATTAGTCCGGAAGGGTTTTAAATTAGACTATGTGCTATGCGTAGTATCTACTAGTTAGCTCTACTTTTCACTTTCACCGATCGTCTGATCGGGAAGAACAGTAGGAAATCGCCATAAATTAGGTGAACGGCCGCGCGAGGGAATAGCATGATCCAGCAAGTGTTCGGATTAGTGATAATCGAGCGATTTCTCAAAAGTAAAAACCAAAAGTGCGTGATTTTTTATACTCTTTTGGACTATGTAACCATCCTAATCATGTCCGCAAAAAAAATCAGGAAAGGAAATGGATCGGAGATCAAGTAGAGTAGATAGAGACAGTAAAGTTAGAAGGTGAAGCTTCTGAATGTTTGTGAGTCAAAAAATTACGGGAACGACTGAGATCTTTCGATAGAAATATCCAAAAGCAATAGTTGAACGTCTGCAGACTGAAAATCGAGAGAAATTGGGAAAAGCTCTTCAATAGCGTTCGTCCTTGACCGATACGATTTTCCAGTATAAACGAAAAGAATTAGCAAAGTGGCCCGTGAGAGTGATGGCGTTCATGAAAGTGCAGTTTACAGGGTGCTGGGGCGACGAGAATATCGAAGACAAAGGGATACGTAGTGAAGATCAGCAGCATACCATACGGATCCATAAGGAACAGGTATTCAATCGGTCAGCGTTTTCTCGAATCCGGTCCCAGGTCCGCTAGAACTCCGAACGATAAATGTCCCACCCATTGAATCTCAATCATTGAACAACACTGAGAAAAGCTTTTTGTCCTCGGAGTTTTCGGGGAATG